GTGTCCGTCGTGAGCGTCCTCCTCCTGTCCCAGGCACTCACTACATGACTCTGCGTCCCTCTACTGCTCCTCGGCGTGTCCCTCTACCGTCTCCTCCTGCGTCCTCTTTGCCTGCCGTTCCGGACCCTGAGTCTGACCGGTATCGCGCTGAGCACCCTACAGTCACGCGTCTCCTCGCTACTGTTGTCACTGACCCTACCTTTGAGTCCTCGGCTGCGTCTGCTCTGGTCGCTGAGTTGGTTGACTTTGCTGCTGCCTGTCGTCTAGACTACGCTGCTAGCCTTGTTGCTGAGTCAGAGTCTGCGTCTGTCTGTCCTCCGTCCGTCGGGGGTGAGTGTGCTCTTGGCACGGACGTCCTTGAGGACAGGCAGGAGGACTTTGACTCTCTTGCGGCTGCTGTACCTCATCTCGTGGCCTGGTTGCTTGCCCCTGAGGGAGACCCGGATGCACTAGACATCCCCACTCCGCGCACTTACGCAGAGGCGATCTCGGGTCCCTACTCCTCTCAGTGGCAGACAGCCATGGACGCAGAGATGGCATCCTGGAAGTCCACAGGCACCTACGTCGACGAGGTTCCCCCTCCTGGGGCGAACATCGTCGATGGCATGTGGATTTTCAGGGTGAAGCGGCCGCCAGGTTCTCCGCCTGTCTTCAAGGCTCGTTACGTTGCTAGAGGCTTCAGTCAGCGTCAGGGGGTCGACTTCTTCCAGACCTTCTCCCCCACCCCGAAGATGACTACTCTTCGGGTTCTGCTGCACGTTGCTGCTCAGCGTGACTACGAGCTTCACTCTCTTGACTTCAGCACAGCGTTCCTGCAGGGCAGCCTGCACGAGGAGATCTGGCTGCGCCGCCCACCTGGCTTTACTGGGTCGTTTCCCCCTGGTACCCAGTGGAGTCTCCGCCGGCCAGTCTACGGTCTCCGCCAGGCGCCACGTGAGTGGCACGACACACTGAGGACTACTCTTGCGGCTCTTGGGTTCGCGCCGTCTACTGCTGACCCGTCGCTGTTTCTGCGCACAGACACGTCGCTGCCGCCGTTCTACATTCTCGTGTACGTCGACGACTTGGTCTTTGCTACTGCTGACACTGAGGCACTCGCTCGTGTGAAGTCGGAGCTGCAGAAGAGACACACCTGCACTGACCTGGGTGAACTGCGTAGCTACCTTGGCTTGCAGATCACCCGGGACAGAGCTCGCCGCACCATCACCCTGACTCAGTCACACATGGTGCAGCAGGTCCTTCAGCGCTTCGGCTTCCAGTTCTCCTCACCACAGGCCACACCTCTGGCTACCAGCCACTCGCTCTCAGCTCCACCTTCGAACGAGTCCGTAGAGCCGAGTGGCCCGTACCCAGAGCTTGTAGGCTGCCTCATGTACCTGATGACTTGCACGCGACCTGACCTCGCGTACCCTCTTAGCATCCTTGCTCGTTACGTTGCGCCTGGGAGACACAGGCGAGAGCACTGGGAGGCTGCTAAGAGGGTGCTGCGTTACCTGTGCAGTACATCAGGCATGGGGCTGGTGCTTGGAGGACGCGACAGAGTTGTCCTCACTGGTCACTCGGACGCCTCTTGGGTGGACGACCTGGCTACGCAGCGGTCGTCACAGGGTTACACCTTCAGCCTTGGCTCAGGTTCTGTCTCGTGGCGGTCCACCCGCTCTTCCTCTGTTCTCGGCTCTAGTTGTGAGGCTGAGATCTACGCCACAGCCATGGCTGCACAGGAGTTACGCTGGCTCACCTACCTGCTGACTGACTTGGGAGAGCGGCCTAGTTCTCCTCCAGTTCTGTACGGTGACAACAAGGCGGCTCTTGCCTTGTGTCAGGAGCACAGACTGGAGCACAGGACGAAGCACATTGCTCTTCGCTACTTTCTTGCTCGAGAGCTTCAGCAGCGCGGTCAGCTTCGGCTTGTGTACGTGGACTCGAAGGCCAACACTGCTGATATCTTCACCAAGGCGCTCCCGCCTAGTGATCATCAGCGGCACTGTACTTCTTTAGGCCTTGTGTCCACGTTTCCTCACTTGCTCACTGCTTGACATTCTTTGTACTGTACTTTATATATATCTTGTTGCTTGCTTGCTAGGTTTTGATCACTGTGTTGCTTGTCTTGTACTATATCTAGCACTGCATGTGAACTGGCCTTGTGGCCTTTACTTGTGCTCGGAGTGTGGTGACGTTGTGATCCACCCTGGGCTTTGTTTTGCTTTGCTGGACTGGTCTTGTGACCCTTTGTTCTCCCCCACTTTGCCTATGGGGGTGTGTTAAACTGTATTATGCTTGTAGGCTGTAGTGGGGTAGCCAATATGGGGTACAACCCCAACTAGGGTTTCATATTTGTACCCAAACTTCTGTTAGTTCATTCATTCTTGCCTAAGACATTCATCCACATCATCTTATCATTGCATCAACAATGCACATCTGTGGATTTTAAAAAAATGGTCAAACTATCATTTCCGAGAAGGTTCTTTGCGCACTCAGTGAGTGTGTCCACTTGAACTGGATTTGATGGATCTTGATCATTTTTTTAGTTTACACAGATTGTATCGTTTCATGTAACAGTTGGATGATTCAGAAACTATGCTATTGACTTCCCCCCCATGCTAGGCAGGGGATGCGGTAGCATAGGGTCTGGGTCAACTAACTGATACGCATTCCATCATGTACCGTATGCATTCATTTCACTATACTAGGTACTGGTATACATAACTAAATATTTTGCATACTGCTATAGCATATGTATTATACTATATTTATGCATTATATATTATGTATTGGGTTATCCATTATCATACCGGTACATCACGTACCGTACATGCATGCATGCTTCATTAATGCATAACGGTATACATCATCAAGTAACATTCACAAGTTGATAGTAACATTATTTTTGTTACCATGTTTATATTTCATCCATTCCACATGGCGTAGTATACGCTGACTATGTTCATCCACAGTAGATTCACGATAGCGAACTAAAGAAGTTGAAAGAAATGTACGGCCATGGCAAATACATAAAGGTCATTTAGGCTACTATCGAAAACATTTTTTCTTCATCTTCTATAAATATAGAGGATGAAAAAAAAATTGTACATAACGATCGTAATAGGTTGCTTCGCAACCCAAAAAAAATCATTTTGGGTGATACATTCGCTACCTGTTCGGAAACGCGCACAAAAAAAAATTACCCATTCGGAAATGGATGCGACTAGGGAGGCATCAACCCTAAACACGACGAAGGTTCCCGTTTTTAGGGTTGATCCATCCCGAAATTGTATCCAGGTTCCCTAGGGGTTTTAGTTTTTTTGGCTAACCTTAGAGTTTTTGGCTTGCTGGACGACGCTAGTGGGTGAAAGGTCTTGAATTATTAACGATTTCCGTGAAAAATGACGCGCGAGCGAAAATGCGAGCTGTTAGCAGATATACGTTCAAAACTTGATGGCTCTCTGCAAATAACCTTTTGCGCAGTGGTTTGGTTAGTTCCGGGCCTCTCGGCCCTTGTTTGATCACCTCTCTGGCACTGTTCGGCCCCTGTATGATCTTTTCCCTAGTCAGCGACGAGCACGAATGTGTTTGTAGTGTCAGATATTGTCGCGTGGGTTTCCGTTTCGCATCACGAGTCGTCGTGGTGAGATATCCCCGCGATATGTTTGGGCCGGAACGCCATTGTTTGGGGGATGTGTTGACGCGGAACGCCATTATTGGGGGAGTGTGTTGACGCGGAACGCCATTATTGGGGGAGTGTGTTGACGCGGAACACCATTATTGGGTCGTCAAACTCGACGGACGTCTGGCACTGGGATGTTAATTCTCGCTGAACCTTTCTTGAACCTTCTTGAAAGCTCTGCAACGGAACGAAACCTTCTCGAAGCTGTAACTGAGGCGGGGACGATCCACAGTGGGAGGCACAGCAACGAACGGGATTTGGTCCTGACAGCGTATGCGCTGCCCGCGCACACATTTCCTCCCAAACCGCATCCCTTGCCAAAACGTCGGCGTATCATCTCACGACACGTCGTGTATGCAACCACCAATTCATTCCAAACCACATCTGTTCCCTTCCCTCACTTCCCTCACTTCCCTCACTCTCCATCCATCAGTACAAAGTCCTTATGGCTGCATTGCTGAAACAGCCACTAAGCTGTTTTGGCAGAGTTGTAGAAGTAGGAAGCACTCTTAGGAGAATTTCATGAAGATAATAGCAAGATAGCTTTACAAGGGATCATATGATGGCTTACATTTCAGAGATACATCCTATTATACTAGGATACTAGCAATGGCGCCTCGAGCAGGTCGCTCAGGCCGCCTTTCATATTCCTAGAGCTAAGAACAGCAAGGCATAGTCATTATGATTATGTACAAGACATCTTAGCCTTGTTGTCATATCTTAGAACCAATTAGCAAAGTCTAGAAATTCACTAAAGACATAGGCAGAGATTATTTGTCTTGTTGTCGTCCATGCTGTCGTTGATAATCATGAGTAGAAGCTGTGTTGGTAGAAGCCATGGCAGTAGGAAGTTGTGCTTGCTTGTGCTGTCAAATGCTTTGCCGTGCTGTTGGAGTTCTCTGCCGTGTTGTGTCCAGCACTAGAGTGCTCTCTGTAGTTGTTCCCAAAGTTGGAAACAGAGAATTACGAGCCGCTCAATTCGAGGTTGAGGGCCAACCTCGAATTTCCCAAATGTTCTTAGGGCGTGTTCCGAAATCAGGTTCGAATCACAGTTTGCTGAGTTGGCGAAATCGCGGACGCGAGATCGCCTTCGCCTTGTTACAATTGCACAGCAAGTTCCACATTATCACAAAGTCGTTCTCTTGAAACCAGCAAACCAGCAGCGATGGCTCGATACCCATCGTCGACGCGTGCCCTCACCCTCGCCGTGCTTTTCTCCGCGTCACTATGGGTGGCGACTCTCCCGCGCTCCGCGGATGCAGTTCCCCTCTCCTACGTGCTGTCTCAGATCCGCAACATGACCAACACTGGCAAGCCCGTCGACCTATCCGCGGGAATGGTCGAGTTTGCCGCTGGATACGACAAGGTCGACGACATCACAGGAGGCTCGCTTCTTCTGCCCCTCAACGATGGCTGGACGAATGCACTCGCGGGTTACAAGATCAACAACCCATTTGCGACAACCTCGTCGGACCCGGTGCTCGAGGCGCTCAGCACGGTGGTGTCCTCGTCGGGATCCGTGTCGGCCCTCAACGGCATGTCCGCCAACGCCAAGAACGCCCTGTCGCGCCTCGCCAAGTTCATGTCGATCACCCAATACGTCGGTCCCAACGACATGCAAGGCGGCAACGTGAGTGATCCGGCATACGAGGAAAGTTTTTTTTTTTTTTCGATGTTGAATATGATAGTGGCTGATTCTTACTCCCATCACTGGCTGATTATTGCTTCTTGCATCTCCTCCACCATTCCTTGTTGAATGTCGCACTCCAACTTTTCGTCCTTTCTCGTCATCTAATCCCGCAAATTGTCTCATTTTGCAATATGCATCTGTCTCCCTGCCAAGCAGTACAAGAACGGGCGGTTCAGCCTAACCACGGCGCTCAACCAGCCAATCTATCTCTACGGCAACGTCACTGGCGCCCTCACAACGGGCAGCGGCGTGGATCACATCTTCACCGGGACTGATCGTGGCGCGGTCGATCCCACGACTTACATGAAGAACGGACTCATCGCGGGGAGTGGCGCTGGCGGGCCGAAGGCAGTGTCGCGCGTGGCTTCCGCGTTTGCTCTGAGTAGCTCGACCAGCGTGTTGGGCAAGATTACGTCGTCGTCTGATATGTCCGCGATTGTCGTGTCTGACGCCGTGTTCCCCGCGACCATGGGCTCGCTTACCAGCTCCGACCCCGTGCAACCGTATGGCAAAGGTGCGTTGTGGGGCATCGAATTATGATCGGCCTTGCTGGTTGTTCTTTTTTTCGTTCAGCTCTGCTGGAAATACACACTTCGAACTCCCCTGGTTCGAAGCCCCCCCCCCCCCCCCCCCCCCCCCCCAAAAAAAACAAATTATAAGTGGCACTTTTTAGCAACGACGCGTACTTGATGTGTGAGTACCGCATCGGCAACAGGCTAACATGCAAAGCCATGTCCCCTTGTTGCTGCCAACCAATGCGCTGTGATAGGGCTGTCCAACCCTGAGCTGCTATCGAGGCAAAACCCTGTCAGCTCATAAACCAGCTTTTGAATATTTTCCTCTGATGTTGCAGGTGCTGGCAGTTTTGCGATATATGGCAGGTGTTTCTTTATTTGTGCTGCTTGTGCTTCTGTAGAAGTCGATGGAAGCACAGTAGTGTTTCATATACCACATTTGCTCTGGTACTTTTTTTTTCCAAACCAGTACGTGCAGTTGGTTGGCTAGAATATGTAATGACAGTAAATAAAATGATACTTTATATGATATGGTACTACTTGTTCTGTCGTTTATCAACGTCCCTGTAGACAGACTAGGGCATTATCCCTTTCTTTTTGGCCTTCTCCATGCGCACCTCTTTCAAGAAATGGCTGTGAAATTTCTGCTTGCCCGTTCCCTAAGAAGGGGGTTTTGCATTGAAATTAGTGTCAAATGTTATAATATGTTCTTAGGCTACAGTGAGTAGCACACTAGGGAGTACAAATGTGTTAGGGTTGCTTTTGTATCTTCCTCGACACTAGTCTCACTCATTCCGTTGCTCTAACTCTTAAGATGGTATCGAGTAGGTTTCGTTCCTAGCTCCCCGCCCTAGCTTAGCGCCTACGCTACGCGCCCTCCGATACGCGCCCTCGCGCCCTCCGCGCCTTAGCGCCCTCCGCGCCTTAGCGCCTTCCGCGCCCTCCACGCTCTCCGCGCTCTACGCGCCCTCCGCGCCCTCGTCGCGCTTAGCTCACGGCTCCCGCCCTCCTAGCCCGTCGCCACCGTCGCGCCCTCCTCCCGCCCGTTTTCACCGTCGCATCCGCCCTCCCCGCCCCTTTCCCCGCCGTCACGACCTCCTCCCCGCCCTTTCCCCGCCGTTGCGACCTCCTCCCCGCCCTTTCCCCGCCGTCGCGACCTCCTCCCCGCCCTTTCCTCGCCGTCGCGACATCCTCCCCGCCCTTTCCCCGCCGTCCAACCTCCTCCCCGCCCTTTCCCCGCCGTCGCGACCTCATCCCCGCCCTTTCCCCGCCGTCGCGACCTCCTCCCCGCCCTTTCCCCGCCGACGCGACCTCCTCCCCGCCCTTTCCCCGCCGTCGCGACCTCCTCCCCGCCCTTTCCCCGCCGTCGCGACCTCCTCCCCGCCCTTTCCCCGCCGTCGCGACCTCCTCCCCGCCCTTTCCCCGCCGTCGCGACCTCCTCCCCGCCCTTTCCCCGCCGTCGCGACCTCCTCCCCGCCCATTTCCCACCGTCGCGACCTCCTCCCCAACCATTTCCAGCTACCACCGCCGGGTGCGGAGGACGCTCCCCGGCTCTACTGACATTGGTCTATCACTCAGCGGCTGGCAGCCGCTTTCTCTCGCCGGCCGCTTAGGTTAGCGCAGTTTAGCCACTAGTACCTCGCCCCTAGCGCTTGTAGCTGGAAATCAACCGTTTCACGCCTAGACTAGGTCGCTCAGTGCTCCTAGCCTCTCACTCCGCCATTGTCACACCTTGCCACTCCTGGCGCTCCTAGGATTCCCCTCCTCGTTCTTAGCTCCGCCTCCACCGTGCTCTAGCTGCCTCTAGCATTGCCTTCGTTATGGAGTCCCGTCGCCTTCGTTTCGATGCGGAGGGGCGCCCGATCGAGTTCGGTACCTGGCAGCGCCAGACCACACGCTTCCTCACCAGCCAGCGCCAGGACGGCGCCACACTGTGGCCCACGCGTCTGGTGCCCTCAAGGCCCCCCCGTCCCCCGCCGCCCTGCCGACCACCTCGGAGCCGACTCCTACTGCCCAGGCGGAGTACAACCGTCAGGTCCTGGCCCGGGACGTGTGGCTCTCTCGTGACGCTGCCGCCGCTCTCGCGCTGACGGAACTTCTCCCCCCGACTGAGGCCGCCCACTTTGACCAGGTGGAGACAGCACAGGGGGTTTGGGATGCAATCGTTGCCCGCTATTCCACCCCTTCCTCTGCCTCCCTCAGTCGCCTCCTCATGCCGTTTGTGTTTCCCGACCTAGGCTCGTTTGCCACTGTTTCCGACCTAGTGACTCACCTCCGCTCGCTTGACGCCGGTTTCCGTGCGGCCTGTACCGACGCACAGCTTCTTGTGGCTCTCCCCCCCATGTGGCTCACTGTGCACTGGTTAGTCACCCGCCTCCCTGACCGCCTTGCTACTGCTCGCGACGCGCTTCTCCAGAAGCACCCCACTGAGCTTACTATCGCTCTCCTTGAGACCGCTCTCGGGAAGATCGAGAGTAACCTCCTCTCAGTTGCCTCCGCCACTGACGCAGCGCCCCCCCGTCTCTTTGCGGGGTGTGCCGCCCCTCAGCTTCCCACTTTCACTGATACCCGCACTTTCGCCTCTGTGTCGGTTTCTGAGGACACGGCCGCCGTCTCTGCCGCTGACCGGCAGAAACGGGGCAAGAGCGGCAAGAAGGGCGGGAAGGGAGGTGGTGGCGGTGGACCTGGGAGCGGTGGTGGCGGCGGCGGCGGCGGTGGTGCACCAGGAGGGGTCCTTGGAGGAGGTGCAGGACAGACAGGCCCGCCTACTGGCGGTGTTCCGCCGGGTGGGGGAGTCGGACCTCAGCCGCAACAGCCACAGCAGCACCACCCGCAGCAGGGACAGCAGCAGCAGCAGGGACAGCAGCAGCAGCAGGCACCGCAGCAGTTCCAGCCTTGGAGCCCCCACTGCAGTGGGGTCCGCAGCAGCACTGGGGTCCCCCGCCGCAGTGGGGTCCGGGAGGACCAGGGAGCACCGGCCGCAGCAGCAGCGTTTCCAGCTGGGCCCCTCGCCCCCCTCGCCGTGACACCGGCCCCTGTGACTACTGGTGCCTCACCTGACCGGGCAGCCCCTGCGTCTGCGGCCGCGACGACCACTCTGCCGCGCGGTGCTTCCACCGCCTCGACGACCTTTACCGAGCCCGCTGGGGCCCAGAGGCGCCCACTCCGCGCTGGGCTCGCCTGTTAGCTCGTAAGATTTCTGTCTTTGATTTGTCTATGGACGATGCTCGTCAGTATGCTTTGTATGCTGATGTAAACTATAGTGCTGATGGATCTGTGTGCACGCGTGTCCGTAGGTTAGCTTGCTTGCCTCCTGCTAGCGTAGACCTGTGCCTCTCTAGTCTAGGTGCTTGTGTTTCAGCTCTAGGTGCTTGTGTAGCCTCCACACCGGGTTCACCACAGGCAGTGGCGTCGCTGTCGTTCACGTTGGACTCTCGCGCGTCGCAATGCTTCTTCTGCGACCACACGACACTGACACCGCTCCTTGCTCCGGTACCGGTAGCCCTGGCTGATCCTTCCTCAGGACCAGCCATGACACGCAGCTCTACCACCCTCCCGTGCCCTGTGGTCCCCTCTGGTGTCCTGCGTGGCCTCCACATCCCCTCGTTCACTCGGAACTTGGTGGGTGTTGGATACCTCCAGGACAGGGGGATCACCGTTACCTTTGTGGGGGGTGGGCAGACTGCAGTCTGTACGGACGCTGTCACTGGCAGAGTTTTGGCCACGTTCACCAGAGAGCCGCGCTCCGGTCTCTACGTCCTCCACACCGAGCACTCCCCGGTTTCCACGTCCGCTCAGGTCGCTGCGTCTCCTCAGGTTCCTGTGTCTCCACCAGTTGCCGAATTCAGTCAGGTCGCTGCGTCTCCTCCAGTTGTCGCGTCTGGTCAGGTCGCTGCGTCTTGCTCGTGTCGGTCTTTCACCCACCAGACGGTCCTGTGGCACCACCGCCTCGGCCATCCGTCAATTCCCCGCCTCCGCACTATGGCTAGTCACCGTCTTGTCACAGGTCTCCCTAGAGTCTTCCCGTCGCTCCCTCCCTCGCCTGCACCGCCGTGCGCTCCTTGTGTCGCCGGTCGCCTTCGTGCCACTCCGCACTCCTCCTCCCTCCGTCCGGCCACTGCTCCCTTCCAGATGCTCCACTTGGACGTCTGGGGCCCTGACCTGAGAGGGAGCGCTACTTTCTGGTGGTCGTCGACGACTTCTCCAGGTACACCACAGTGTTTCCTCTCGCTAAGAAGTTCGAGGGGACTCCTACGCTGATCCGGTGGCTTCTAGCCACTGAGGGCACTCGTGGTCGTCGTGTCTCCTGTCTCCACTCCGACCGTGGGGGTGAGTTTCGCTCAGGCATTCTTGCCGGATTCTGCGGCGAACAGGGCATCGTACAGTCCTAGACGCTGCCGGAGTCCCCACAGCAGAATGGGGTTGCTGAGCGCCGCATTGGCTTGGTCATGGACATCGCCCGCACGTCCATGATTCATGCCCGTGCGCCCCATTTTCTGTGGCCCTACGCGGTTCGCTACGCCGCGCACCAGCTGAACCTCCAGCCGCGCGTCTCTCGGCCGGAGGCTTCACCGACCAGTCTTTGGACCGGGTCCCCTGGTGTCGGGTCGGCCTTTCGAGTCTGGGGCTGCCTTGCGCAGGTCCGCGACACCTCTGCGGACAAGCTCTCGGCTCGCGCCATCCCCTGTGTCTTCCTTGGTTTCCCGGTAGACTCGGCCGACTGGTCCTTCTACCACCCGCCCCTCCACCAGTTCCTAGACTCCCGTGACGTTCGTTTCGACGAGTCCGTGTCCTACTACGCTCGTTACCCCTGTAGAGGTCTCCCGGTTCCCCCTCCCCCCCTCTTCCTCGCACCCTCTCTTCCCCCTGCTCCTGCTCCTCCGGTACCCCCACCCCCCCTTGGTCCTGCCCCGTCAGGTGTGTCACACGCTACCCCTCTACCCTCTGCCGCGCGTCAGGTAGCGTCTCCCTCCCCGCAGTCCTCCTCGCAGTCCCCTCAGCGGCCTTCGGTACTTCCGATACAGGTTCCTGTGGACTCGGTTGGTGTTGGAGCTGGAGGTGCGGCTGCTGGCGGTGCTCGGTCGAGGGGTGCTGGAGCTGGAGGTCCTGGCACTGGAGGTGTCAGTTCCGGGGGTGCTGGAGCTGGAGGTGCTGGCACTGGAGGTGCTAATTCTGGGGGTGCTGGAGCTGGAAGTGCTGGCGTTAGAGGTGCTAGTTCTGGGGGTGCTGGAGCTGGGGGTCCTGGCCCTGGGGGTGCTCAGGCAGGGGGTGCTGGGGCTGGGGACTCTGACCCTGGTGGCACCCCCTCTGTGGATACTGGTACTGGAGGTGCTAGTTCTGAGGAGACTGGAGCTGGGGGCACTGCGTCTGCGGAGCGCACTCCGCCTCCCCACCACCACGACACGCGCTACCAGGCGGCCTGTCGACGTGCGCGCGAGGAGCAGGAACGGTTGGAGCGGGAGCGGCAGGAGTTGCGGCAGTTGGACCTGCTCGAGCAGCAGCAGCAGCAGCAGGAGCAGCAGCAGGAGCAGCAGCAGCCGCCATAGCCACAGCAGCAGCAGCAGCAGCAGCCACCGCCGTCCCCGCAACCGCAGCAGCTTCCTCTGGAGCGGCAGTTGTTCCCGCCCGTGAGTGGCCTCCGGACCCTTGGCCTTCCCTCTTCTCCTCCTGTCCGCTCTCAGTCTCCCTCTGCGTTTGGTCCTACGTTTCCTCCTCCTGACGACCGTCCTGCGGTCTGGTCTTCGCCTCCGCCGCAGTCTCCTCCTCCTGTTGTCCGTCACTACCGTTCCCGTCCGTGTCCCCCGAGTGCTCGTCCCGCGTCCCCTGTTACTGACCTCCACACTGCCCTCCTTTGTACTTCTCTTCGTCGTTCTCCTCCTTCGGTGTCCGTTCTCCCGTCTACTCCTTCGTCGTCTCTTCCTGTCTCCCCTACTCCTATCTCCGACTACTACCGTGCTGTTCGTCCTGTCGTCTCCCGCGTTCTAGCCTCAGTTGTCACCGACCCTCGTTTCTCTCCGTCGTCTGTCTCGGCTCTCACTGTCGCTATCGCTGACTTTGCCGCCGCCAGCCGCCTTGACTACTGCACTCGTGTGGTGCCCGCTCTGCCTACCCGTCCTCTGTCCGTCGGGGGTGAGTTTGCCCTTGGCTCTGACGTCCTAGAGAACAGGCACTCTGAGCTGGAGTACCTGGCAGCCGCTTCTCCCACTCTCTGTGCCATGCTGCTTTCCTCTGAGGGAGACCCCGACGCCCTTGACATACCGACTCCTCGCACGCACCGTGAGGCAGTGTCAGGGCCGTGGGCCTCTCAGTGGAAGGCAGCCATGGACTCAGAGTTGGCGTCTTGGAGATCCACAGGCACGTACGTCGACGCAGTTCCCCCTCCCCCCTTGGGCGAACGTAGTCGATGGCATGTGGCTCTTCAAGGTGAAGCGGCCGCCTGGATCACCACCGGTGTTCAAGGCGCGCTATGTGGCGAGAGGCTTCAGTCAGCGCGAGGGAGTTGACTTCTTTCAGACCTTTGCTCCGACCCCAAAGATGACTACTCTTCGGGTGTTACTGCA